AGCGTAATTCATTGCTTCAAAGAAATGGTGCCTTGGCAATGAAACTTTCAAGTACTGTCCATTGCTATTTGACCACTTTTAGAGTATCTATTCACATAGGATAGTAACAGCTTGCTTGGCAGTTTATAAAGCCATGCAGTGTTTCAACAAGCCAGTGGTTTGCGGATCAAGTAACATAACATATAATGCAAAATGAAAATATAAATAAATGAAACAGTAGGTTTGAAACTGGGAACCAACTACTTTAATAAACAAATTTCATGGCTTTATACCAATCTAGCATTTTCATTGCTAATCCAGCGTTTTTTCTAAAGATATGGGGAGCTTTTTTTTTTTTTTTTTTTTTTTTTTTTTTTTTTTTTTTTTTTTTTTTTTTTTTTTTAGTTTAGTGCTCTTCATAAAGATGCAAGGTCCATAAACATAAGCTATGCAAAATTTCTTATTTTTTATACAGGTGCTGAAGGCTTTCTTCATAAATAATTAGTAATGCAAATGAAACTCAGACTTGCGTAAAGGTGCTTTTCATAAAGGTACAAACAACGTCTGTCTTTTTGAACCACAGCCAACATGCACGAGAATGCAAGAACTTTTAAACGATCCTCTTATGAAGCGATCCTTCAAAGGTAGCAGACCAATATTACAACTGAGAAAGGAGAGAAAGACATGCAAAAGCAATTAAGACTCTCATAATACTAGACTCTGCACCAGGAATTTTGACCGATATCAGCTTCCACTAATCACTATAATGCACTTAGTTTTATGGATATACAGAATTTATTGGTACACTTACCAGGTGTGATAAGTGATGCAAGGAAAGCAGTAACGATTTTGGACTTTTGGTTACTTTTCATTGATGAATCAATTCTCAACTCTACAGTAGTATGAACTAACCAGTATATTGAACTTGTGAGACCTAAATGTTCAGATTTAAGTTTCACAACCAGAGCCTCACTAAGGCAGGGTCGTACAGCAGAATTGCCCTAGACCTCCACATCAGAGCGTGGCACCAAATCAAATAGAAAGTTTATTTTATAGAAAGTTCGTAGCTAGATGACAAAGTTAACAATCAGAAAACTGCATTTCGAAAACTTGTGAAAAGTTCACAAACTGAAGCGATATGATTGTTAATCAGGTCATCTTAATCGCAACTACGAAACATTTAGCTGCATCACGTTCAGTGGATTCTGTTGGATTTTCACAACACTGAAAAATCACAATATTCAACTATAAGCTGTATTTTCTCAAAATTCTAACAAAATATCAAATATTCTTTTGATTAATTAATTTCATTTGCAACACTGCAAAAATCTACATTACTACTAAAAAAAAGATGGGGCTATTTCAGGTTCTAGACAATTTTGTTATATATCTATCAGTGAAAAATTTAAATACATCCATAAAGTTTGGTTCTTCATTTTTGAAATTATGAAGCAGAGGAGAGGCCCCCAAAGAAGTTTTTGTCCTGGCCCCAATTAGTCTAAGTGTTGCCCTGCTCACAGCCTAATTATTTATAAGCATGATGGGGATAATTAGTAAACTAATTAAAAATTAAAATTAGGTAACATTTAATTTAGTGGAAAAACTATGACTTTTGAAGTAGTCTGACAAAAATTTCCCATTTTCATGGAGCAAAGAGCTCTATACCTACCTGTTTGACATATTTGCCCATTAAATTACCATACAACAAGCTATAACAATGCAAAAAACAATGTTATTTTAATTAATACCACTTGCCTTTAAGCACTGGACACATTATCTTGACAAAATATATGGTCATTCAAGCCTCCACTTTCCTTACACCATTATTTCACTTATTTTGTTGTGATTTTCTAAAAACTGCATTTATTAATCTAATGTAATTTATAACCTTTTTAAACCTCCATAATGCTTTTTTACTACAGCATTATACTAAAATCGGCTGATCTTTGGAATATGGTAACAGGTAGTTTGGCGACATTTTGGAGCGATAAAGGTTACTACCTAGGACTTTGGGAATAATGTGAGAAGTACTGTGTTCTGATTATGCATTATTTTGTGTGAGGGAAATGAGAGATCATGAGATATGTCATGTGACATTAATGGACGATTACGTTCTTTAATCGGAAAAGGGGGTAATTGTAAAAAATCTGGTGTACTTGTATTTGGCTTATTTCTTCTATGTTCTGTGAAACAGTGTTTGTTTTAATTATTTGGATCCCATGGGCCTATAAAGTGAAATCGAAATTTTTTATTGCGTTTATGTGATGAAAAGAATTGCTTAATTTCGATAAGTATGAATGTCCAATTGTGAGAATGAAATGAGATTGTGTGAAAGGAAGGATATTACAGTAGTTTGAATGGCGTGCAAGAAACCTGGTGAAAAGGGACATTTTGTGATCCGCCTGCACTCAAGATTCTGTAGAAGATTAGGTAAGTTAGTATTTTTAATTATTTGAGGATTATTTTTATGCATTGTTCTAAATGTAAGGAGTAAAAAGTAATTTTGTAAAGTAATGTATTTATTAATTTAATGTATTGCTTATTTATATTTTAAGTAGTGTTTTTGAATTTTTTAATTTTAATAAATGATAGTTATTTTGTGAATTTATATGTTTGTAGGAATTTGGTATACGTTTTGAGTGGAAGTAAACGTGCATGGAAATAATTTAATATTTGACACTAAGTATTTGTAATGTTGCGGTATGAATTCGTTGGTGACGTTTATAATGTAATAGATGATTTAGAGGTAAAAGTTTTTGGATATTTTATTTATTTTATATGTGGAAATGTTCATCTTTGGAAAGGGTAAATACTTTTTCGCGATCAGGTAATTTCATATATGTTCTTTTTACCGGGTTTAAAGATTGAGAAAATTGTCATGTATTTTCGTGAAATTTTTCTAATTTATGAGAAAAAAGCAGTGTACATGGATATAGTGAAGAGTGTGCGCAATGCCATTTTTGTGCAATTCTGGGATGTTTTTTTAAGTAAAAATAAGTCGACGTGTACATGGTTTAGTGATATTTTAATTAAATGATAGTTATTTTGTGAATTTTATGTTTGTAGGAATTTGGTATACGTTTAAGTTGAAGTAAACGTGCATGGAAATAATTTAAATATTTGACACTAAGTATTTGTAATGTTTGCGGTATGAATTCGTTGGTGACGTTTATAATATAATAGATAATTTAGAGGTAAAAGTTTTTGGATATTTTATTTATTTTATATGTGGGAAATGTTCATATTTGGAAAGGGTAATATACTTTTTTCGCGATCAGGTAATTTCATATATGTTCTTTTTACACGGGTTTAAAGATTGAGAAATTGTCATGCATTTTCGTGAAATTTTTCTAATTTATGAGAAAAAAGCAGTGTTCATGGATATAGTGAAGAGTGTGCGCAATGCCATTTTTGTGCAATTCTGGGATTTTTTTTTAAGTAAAAATAAGTCGACGTGTACATGGTTTATGTGTATGTGCTATTCTGAAAAACGCGCAAGGAGTTTGCGATTGTGCACTTTTTCCCAATTTTGCAGTTAATTTTGTCATGATTAAGCAGTTTTGTTACATAAAATTTCTAGCATAAGTGTAATTCGGCTAGTAGATTGTTGGAAAAAGTGTTCAGTAAATAAAAAGAAAAGAAACATGTGGCAGCGAAAAAAAAATAGAGGGTTGCTGTAACAGAGTTGGTCGCCAAATTTTCGCCAAAAAATCGCCAAGTTACCATAATCCAAAGATCAACTCTAAAATCACTCAAAATATTTTGTAAAAATTTCTTGATGTTGCATGTCATCTTGAACACTGATATGTAACAACTGGATCCTACCCAAAATTGAAATATTATGCAGACTTAAGAAACTTTATTTTAATTTTCAAGTAATTTTTCAATAACATATTTAATTACCTTACATTAAAATACCAACAACCTAATATTACTAAAAGGATTCCTCATGTACTTAAAAAATTATATTCACATTACTGTATTTTAGAATCTCTGAAAAGCAAAAATCGATACAGCATTACCCCTCACCAATGTATTATAATATTAAATCTCTCAGAATTAATTAGAATTCACAGAAAATTATAAATTTAATATACAACAACTTGTATAACCAAGTGTCAAAAAACCAAATGGCAAAATTAAAGGTTAATCTTCGGATTATGGTAACTTAGCAATTTTTTGGCGAAAATTTGGCGACTAACCCTGCTACAGCAACCTGCTAGTTTTTTTTTTTTTTTTTTTTTTTTTGGATGCCATTTTGTTTTCACGAAGTAAAGGCCTTTTTTTTTTTTTTAACACAACATTTTTTCCCAACAATCTGCTAGGCGAATTACGCTCATGCTAGAACTTTTATGGAACAAAAGTGCTTAATCTTAACGAAGATTAAATTGGGAGAAAGTGCAGAATCGCCCACTGCTTGCCGCGTTTTTAAGAATTGCACATACACGGTATCATCCATGTACACGTCGACCTATTTTGGCTTATAGAAACATCCCAGAATTGCACAAAAATGGCATTGCGCACACTCTTGACTTCATCCATGTACACTGCTAAAGTCATAGCTAGTAACATTTATCGCATTACCAAAATGTCACCAAACTACCTGTTACCATATTCCAAAGATTAGCCAAATTAAATTATATTACACACATAGCTGCATTTAGCATATTAATATATTTAACTTAACGGTGCTACTTTAAGTATATAAATTTTACTTATTTTCCAATATCAAGATTCTCTAGAATATATGTACTCCAATATTACACATAATAAAAACATTTCATATCTCATTTGTTGAAAACATTTCATATCTCATATGTAAAAACATTTCATATCTCATATGTATACTTTTATTTCAAAACTCCAAAGTTTGCTTATTCTATGGCATGTAAATGTTATTACAATATTATTAAATATAATTATTTACATAAATAAATAATTTGCTTATATTGTAAATTCTTTACCAAAAAACTTAAATTCATTATAAACTATCAGAATACAAAATTTTAAATAATTCTTACTCCAACTGGATATGGGGAAGCTGAAGGTGGTACGTAATTTGCCTATAGAAAGTAACGAAATATAATTAATCAACTTTCAAAATAAACTGTACAAAAAATTACGTAAGGGAAAAAAATAAGGTTTCTTACTGCGGGGGGTATATTTGTTCTTTGTGGAGGTGGTGTTCTTGGAGAATAAGGTCCTGATGGTGATGGGGAAGGTGACGGTAAAAACTGTCCATTAGGTAAGTTAGGATAACCAGCCATTCTAATAAAAAATAATAACAAGTATCAGCTATTAGTTACACTTCATAAACTCGATTTCATCTTTTCAAAAAATGAAACTGAGGTTAAATAATAGACTTCGATGTCAAAATACTCTTCCTTGTAAAATAATTTAAATCAAATTATCATTCTCTTATAGAACCAAATTTGAAACATATTTACCTGTAAAACAAAAATTTTTAATCTTTTAATAATAATACAAATACTGGTAAAACTTACTTCAAAGCTAATCAAGTTAAAGACCTTTCACGCAAGCATAAATTCCTGAAAATTTCCTCATAGGGATGTTTACTCATCCAACCCTGACATTGCGCAACACATGAATAAGTTTCGATTACTAGACAATACACTTTTCGGCTGGTTTCACGCTTATTTTATGTTTATTCTAAATTTCTGGCCATACTCTCAACTTCAAAACTTTTATAATTGTTTATATTATACTATTCACTTTATGGCTTGCAAAATTAAAAAATACCCAAATTGTTCGATGACGGGTAAGGTCTTCGGTTCAGGTACCCTGGTGCTAACACCTTCTACAGTGGGAAAAAAACAAAACAATACACTGTTACACACTATGTTTACAGTAAGAAATCTTCAATTACAAAAATAGAAGCGCAAAATTATAAAAGTGATTTCCTAACTTTAAAGCGAATGTTTAGTATTTAATTTAGTTTTACGATAAAAAAAAGTCGAAGTTTCAGCATTAGCTTGGTAGCTGTAACCGTTGCTACTTTTTTTTTTTTATTTTTTTTTATTGTTATTTGACAACAAATCGACTGCTCTGCTTATGATTTTAAGGAAATGCAATTATCTAACTTATATTTATTCCAAAAATAATTTTCTTCGGAAAAAATTGTGATGAAAATCCACACTTACTGTAATGGCTGTGTTCAGATTAGATCCTTGTGGCATAATCTGCATTATATTAACTTATTTAGCAGTATTTTATGCAGATTATGCTGTAGTGGAATGGATGGTAATACCAACGATGTCGACAAGGTGATTTTAATTTTTTTCAGTATCCTATATTGCTACATTTAGAATATGAAAATAAGTTGTCATTAAATGTCCATACATTCAAAACTTATATTTTATATTTTACTGCAAACATCTGTAACTTTATTTTATTATTTTCAATAAATTTTGTATCTTACTTAATTCTGCTGCTAATGTTTTGTATTTTAAAGATTAATTGGTAAAATCCTAGTATACGGTGCAGCCTTGGCGCGGTTTTGAAAATTATCGCCAACACCAAAAATGACCCAAAGATCCTCTTGATAAGTCTGTCTCCTGCCTCTCAACAGTCATTCACTATGCATTTAAAAAAAAAATTGTGTGGATAAGTTTAATTTGCTAAATTAGTGAATTTATTTCATGGATGGTTTTGACTTGATTTGTTTATGCTTCTGAATTTAATGATATTGTATTAGTTCGAGAATTAAATCTTTTATTGTTTTACAATTTTTTTTTTTTTTTTTTGCTTTAAATTTGCTTTTTACTTTTATATATGTTTGTTAAAATTTAAATTTAAGGTTTAAATTTACTAGTACATATATATTATTCTTTGAATGACCCGTTTACTACTCATCGTATATTTCCCGTTTTTACTGCTAATCATAAAGTCGCCAAATCCTGTGTGCACCGGATACTAGGATTAAACCAATTAATGTAGTGAGATTTATGATTATAGTGAAACTCGAGTCATTAGAAATCTTTTTATTAATATTAATTATCGTAAGAAACTTTATGTTTCAACTCTCTAGTATTTTAACCATTCTATTAGCTACTTAATCTACTACAGTCAAGGCAAAAAGTATTTGAAATAGACAAATTTATGCAAAATTTTTTTACAAATGGTATAAATTAAATTTTTACATAATAGCGAGCTCAAATTAGCTTTTGTAATAAATAAAAAAAATAACTATCACATAATGTTGTCACAATGCCGAAATTCTGCAAATTTCCAAGGGGAAATGAATATTTGAACAATTAGTGAAAAAGTTTGATTTCAAATACCGAAAGTGAAAGAAAAAAATGTGCAGTTCTTTGACTTGTTAGTTTGGCTTGTATAGCAGTAATTTTCGTGCAAAAAATCGCCGCTACACAAAGCCAAAATAATAAGACAAATAATTGCGCAAACTCAGTATCCATGTGCACTTTGACCAATTTTCACTTGAAAAAAAAATCCCAGAATTCCACAAAGATGACATTGCGCACTTCCTTGACTTTATTCATGTACAAATCGACCTATTTTCACTTAAAAAAAAAAAAAAAAAAATCAGAGAATTGCACAAACTAGGCTTTGTGCACTCCCTTGACTTTGTCCATGTACACATCGAACTATATTCTTAAAAAGTCAAAGGAGCAGCCACAAATATATATATTATATAATAATCTCAATAAACTACATTTTAAATCGAACAATGAAATCACATAAAAAAAAAGAAATTCATCTTTGCACTACACAAAGGAAAATCACTTACCTTATTTACAAAAGACACGTCTTCAGTCAAACAAATCCGTAGCACATCCAAAACTTCCTAAAATTATCTGAACAGAATCTGTATACTGGCGTCGCTACATAAATTCACAAAATAAGAGTAAAAAATATCCTTCATAACGATGTTCGACCATACGCATTTCCTTCGTACAAAGAGGACACCTTATAATGGCTACTAAGTAAACCTTCATTTATACACCAGTCAAGAAATGCTTTTTTCCCCTTCATTCTAAATCATACAGAAACTTCAAAGTATTCTTACCATATTCGGCCATTTTACCATCTAAACCACAAAACAAGCTTCCTAACCAAAACACGCACACCACAAGCCCTTACGAATTTGCCGCAATGGTGCAACCAATTACATCATAATAGTGTTTCAATAACATTCAACTACTCAGGCTACCATAAATGAAACAACAACTTGGTGATTAATGAAACAACTTCGCGATAATACAAGAGGTACCCTTCTTTCTTCTCTAATCATTTCCACTTAAAAAAAAAATCACAGAATTGCACAAACTAGGCATTGTGCTCTCCCTTGACTCTATCCATGCATATGTCAACCTATTTTCACTTAAAAAAACATCAGAGAATTTCACAAACTTGGCATTGTGCACTCTCTTGACTTTGTCCATGTGCACATCGATATATTTTCACTTAAAAAGTCAAATGAGCACCCAATTCTAGGTAAAAGTATATTTATGAAACATCCAACTACTCAGGTTACCATAAATAAAACAACAACTTTGTGATAAATGAAACAATAACGATAAATGAAACAATAACTTTCTGATAAAGGATACAAGGAGTACGCTTTACTTTACTCTAACCGAATCTTGTTCAGGTGTTTGTGTTACACTTTGAAAAATAAAAGGTTAGGTTAGGTTATTTAATTACGGCAAAGCCTCGAGGCCTATCTGCCTTAAGGGAAGGGATGCCTTCGTTGAGGACTTTCTAAGGGAAACTGGCTCGTATATACGTTACACATGGGGAAAACCACGAAAACACCCATGCAGCCAGCCCGTTCACAGGATTCAAACCTCTAACCGAACTACCAGTGTTCAGCGACTTTACTGCTTGGCCGCTGGTGGGCTTGAGCAATAAGAAATTACCTACATATATTCAGGCATAAAGCCAGGAGTGTAAGAAAAAAAGTATATAAGTGAAACTAATCGTAAGAAAAGACTTTATTTTTCAAAAGAATATGTAAATTAGCCTATAGAATTTTTGAAAAAGACTGATTTCATTGAGTGTTTTGGATTTGATGGCAAGAAAACTGTTTGGAGAAAAAATAAAACAGCTCTAAATCCTACAAATGTATGTTCAATTGTAAACCATGGTGGTGGGAACATTATAGTACAAGGTAGTATGAGCTGGAATGGAACTGGTAATTTTACTATAATTGAGGGAATTTTGAATGCAAGAAAATATGTAGAGATATTGTGAGATAATTAATTTCAAAGCATGTCAAAATTAGTTATTAAAGATGACTTCTGGTTCCAACAAGACAATGACCCTAAACTTAAAGCTAGAGTTACAAAAGAATTCCTCTTATTTCAAAGATGAACACTCCCCAAAGACTCCACCCCAATCACCTTATCTCAATCCGATTGTGAATTTATGGTACTTTTTGGATCAAGATGCTAGAGAATATAAATTTTGGCATCTTGAATTAAAAAATATTCGTTTGAAAACATGAAAAAAAAAAAAAAATATTCAGATCTAACCCAAAAGTTAGTAGAATCAATGCCAAGAAAACTACAGGTAGTTATAGACAACAGTAGACATTTTATGAAATACTAAATTTTATTTTTAGTATTTTTTCATTGAATTTTAAGTTATAATTATTTAGTTCAAATACTTTTTTCCCTTTTGAATATTTGTGTATCTTGATAATTTTATGTTATGAATGACAACAAACACTCTATTTTTTTATTTTCTTTATTATTGCTGCGAACTAATCTACAATATCATTTAAATTCTGAGAGCATATGTAAATTAAGTGCAAGTATCAAAATCCATGAATATTCCAAAAAATTTTAATACTAAAAATTTATAAAAAATTACTAAATTTACATAGTTGTCAGATTTAAAATATTGTAGATTAGTTCGCAGCAATAATTAATCATTTATTTGTTGCAAATAAAATTTCATAATTTAAAATTTAAATTTTAATTAAACCATTATGAATAGAGAATTATGTTCTAAATGATATTTGACAGAAAATCGCACTTCATCTGAAATGACATTGAATTTTTTCATATTTCAGTTTTATGACTCAAATTATGTGTAAATATTAATTTTTTTTTTAATTTGACAGGAAACTTATCGAGAAGTTTAAAAATTTTTTCTGGAACACCTTTTTTAATTTGCATCAAGAATAAATCACTTGGTGAAATTCTTAATTCTATTCTAGTCTACTTATGGTAACCTATTTTCCTTTCCCTTTCCATTGTGCACGAGCAGGAAAAAAAAAAAAAAGTACATCATTCATTCTTTCAAATAATTTTAACAAAGCGCATAAACCACATTTTGTATGATTGTCACATATAACAAATATGCCAAATTTCAAAACATGCCAATATATAAATTCATGTATATGTCTAGAAATATTTTGAATAAAAAACTAATATGTTGCAGTTATGTCTATAAACACATCTACTTTAAGGTGTTGGTAAAAATTTTTTTTTTGAAAATATAAAAATTACTAAAAAATTAAATCAGAAAATATCTGCAAATTTCATTTGGATTGAATCTAAATTTCGAATCGTGAAAGAAGAAATAAGTTTAATTGAAAAAAAAAAGATATTTTAATAAATGCATACCAAATTCAATTAGCATTTAGGAACTAAATTTTTTAGAACTAATTTTTTAAAAACTACTCATGCAGTTTTTACAAAAATTGGTACTTTGGCATATTTTGAGTTCTAAAATTGAAATATGGAAAAAAATCAGTATGCCATATTAGAAAAAGTCCAATTTTGCATCAGAATACCTATGTGCAAACAATACTATATAAAACTCCAATATATATCCTACGTCACCCTTTCGAGACATGAAAAATGAAAGTTAAATTACGTCAATGGGCCCAGTAAAATGGAATATATAGAACTGCTCCCTTTTTTTGTGCAGTGTGTATCTTTATAATAAGCTGCACAAAAGTTTGTCTGTTAAATTATTTGAGAAGTTCCCTGTAAATTTCTTGATGAAAATTGAGTGAGCTACATCATAGACATAAGTAGATAATCTCTTAAAAAGAAAAGCAGCTCATTGCCAAAAGTGAGAAGCTGAAAACAATTAAAAAGAAACTCAAAAACTTTATAAACTCATATATTTTTTTAAACCTTAGGTTGATTTAATATGAAAGAAACATTGAAAAATGTATTTTTTTATAATTTAAAATGTTATATGTATATTGAAAAAGTGATTTTTTATGGATGTATTATGATGGATAATTTATTTCAAATTGATACATTGTCAAGCTTTACTATAAATCATCTTAAAAAAAAAAATAAAAAAGAAATATACTAAAAAAAAAAAAAAAAAAAAAAAAAAAAAATGATTCAAGTCAATTAGATTAAAAAGTTAAAATAATATTCTCAGGAACTGTATCTATTAAATAGTTTTGTTTATTAATGATTAACAGACTGATTAAATGTGAAAGAGTACTATTTTGCATTTTTACTTTTTTTTCTGTTTTCTTCCTGCTCCCCCCCAAAAAAAATTGATTAAATTTGAAATTTTTTAATTTTGACCCCAGAACATTAAATTATTGATCAGTAACCATTTAGTTAAATGTAAATGTTTCTCATTATTCGGTTTTGTTTTGTTTTTTAAAATTTGTTTATCAGCGTACACGTAATTGGGTAGTCGTGTAGTGTATGACCTACCCCTTTTAATTGATCAGTTATTTCTTTGATGATGCCACTAAAATGCTATTTTTAAATTCAAACATGGAATAAAAGTGTGGGAAAATGAACTCAATAAAATAATAAGTGCCGCCATCTAAAAAATAAATAATTAAAAGTAGTTGATTGCATACAACATGATTACCCATAATTTTTTTCTTAAGTTAGGATATTTTTGTTATATATTTTGAATTCTCTATTTTAAATTTTATAAACTTAGATAAGTGGACCTAAAATTGATTTCATATTTAAAAGCTCTAAATCTGTTAGAGTAAATATATTTTCTGACTGAAGTAATTTTTATGTAATGTGAAATATTTTATTTACCTACCATGCTTAATACATACAGATGTTAGTTAATACATACAGATTTAGCACTTGTATTTATTGTTTTTATTTTAGGCGTTGCTTAATGTAATCATGTTACTTTGCAGCTATTCTGATAACATAAACCAGATGATAACATTAAATTGTGAAAGAGAAAAATTTTTGTATAGTTTGATTAAATTTTTAATGGAAAAATTGCTTGAAACATAAATTTATATTTTATACGATTTTAATTAGAAATAAAATTTTAAATCGTTCATTAACTGTGAGTTGCATGCTGCTGTTACGTAAAGTTTTCTTCATATCTCGACAAAGTAATTTTTTGACATTTTTATGGCTACCATATATTTCTGAACATAAGCCAATTCACGTATAAAGCAAGAGTGCATTTTTCTTTTAAAATTTACACAAATTTTAAAACCAGTTGTTTAAGCTAAAATGTCAAACATATTGCCTTGAGGGTGAAATGTTGCTAAGCAACTAAAGTGAGTAGGATGTTCCAAATTTCTGTACAGTCAGATGCCAGTGATGAGAGTTTTAACTCTGGTAGCCCTATCTGAAGCTGGAATGTTTATTCCATTTTGTTGTCTTATATATGTGCTAGTCTTATTTTCTCTGCCATTTTATTTTTTGTCTGAAAGATGAGCAAGAAGAGAAATTCTTGTATGGCAAATTTGAAACTACAGATAATCACATTTTCTGAAAATTCTAACAAGAGTGTAACTTAACAACATTTCTCCATAAATGAAAAACAAATTAAAGAGTGGGGAAAGCTGGGTGCAAATTTTATTAGCAGATCTTTTTGGCGATGAACAGTTTGGCAATGATGCAACAAAGCAGCATTATAAAGAATTTTGAAAATAAAATACTCATTTTTATAAAATGATTAATTTGTTTCATTTAAAATTATTTTTTGTCATAAATTTAAGAAATATAAACTAAAAAAATAAAAAAGTGCAATATTTAGCTATTTATCGGTTGTGCCCGGCGAACAGAAGAAGGCACATATTTTTTGTAAGATTAGCGGATCTGCAGATAAGCTGACCCCTTTAATTTAGCTTTAGAAAAAGTTCTCTTTAGCTTTATAAAAGTTCTATCCTTGATATTATATTAACTACTTTATTTATTCAGCATTTTAAGGAAATGCCACTTTACTTTCCAACAACAGTGTATTAGATTCACTAATTTTACAAGCATAACTACTGAAAGATCTCTCTGTATATATTAAGTACTATTAAGCCAGAAATTATAGCTGTTACTCTGTAGGAAAGATCAGGTACCCTGTCTATTGTCTTCTGTCGCTTATCTGCCTGCATAAATTTAAAGTGTTTAAAAAATAAATTTTATAATAATTTGATCACATTAAATAATTGCTCATTTTAATAACAATTATTTATGTAAATGTATTGTCTGGGCTGTCTTGTAATGCCCAAATGATAACATAAACTGTGATCATATTAAGTAGCAAAGGTCATATAATTTATTTTCACTAATAATAAAAAAAAACGTAAATATGTTTTATTTTTTATGTCCATGTATTAATAGTGTGATATGTGTGTGATTACACAAAAATGATCTTCAATTAGTATTGCCTTTCTGCCCCCTTAGGCATTGTCACCATTAACCATTATTTTTATTGGTACTTTTATTCACCTTTAAAGGAATTAAACTTGCTGATCTCTTAAAAAACAAGTGACATGCAAGAAATGTTGAAATTTGGTTATCATATTTTTGCTGAACTGCATACCTGATTAGATGTCACCTTTTTTCTAGCTCATACACTAACAGGATTTTTTTTTTTTTTTTCCTAGCTTATGGGGAGCTTTCAACGTAGTTTGCTTTAACACTATAGTATTTTTACTGATCATGGCTCACTTGCGAGCAGTTTTTTCTGATCCTGGAATTGTTCCCTTTCCTGATAACAATTTAGATTTCTCAGATATGCATAGTGGAGTTGGATCTCCAGTACATAAGGTATTGAATTTTTGTATATCACTTTGAAAAATGTCTCATGAATGTTTATATTTTTGTTATATTGTTCTACTACATAATTTGGAATAACAATTGTTGTGGAAGGTGTAGGAATTATAATGTGCAGTGTATGTATAATCATATGTGCAAGATTTATATCTATGTAAATTATATTTTTTGCTTTTTGCCATATATAGTATGCCCATTACTTTAATGTGCATAATATTAAGCAGTATCCAGAATTAGATTATCTTAAGTACTACAAAATGCTTAAAGCATATCTGTTAAGCTCCATTCCAATTTTGATTGAGAAAAACAAAAAAAAAAATAAAGTTTGAGAATCTGATTCCCAGTCTCTCAAGAGAACTTTCAGAGTAGCAGATTTTAGCCGCCCAGATGGTATTGTGTAAGGGAGGCCTGACTACGATACCAAAGGGCCCCAGAGAAGGCATGAATGTAAAATTGTCTGTTCCTTCATAAGAGGTAACAGTGGCTGCTTATTAGGTGCCTCCACAATAAAATGGTGACCACTTCTGCCCTTAAGCGTGCTTAATGCCATTATAGGTAAGTTGGGATTGATTGGATGGGAGAAAAGAAATAGCAAATTTTAAATTTCATCATTAAGACAGTGCAGTGGCAAATATCTGTGCCTTGTCTAGAACTGCAACAAATCTGATCCATATTTTGCTGTATTCCATTAACCAACATATCAACCAGAGTAGCCAAGGGATATAAGTAATTTAAAGAAACTGTAAAATTTAAAACTGTTTCAGCAGTAATATCATTAAATAAATAAAAGAAGAATCTTATTGTATTGTGCGAGAAGCCTCGGTGGCTTCGGGTATTGCAGTTGTTTGTTCAAGTTGCCATCTATTAGCACTAATGAGAAGTCCAGAAGTGCACCAGTTTCACATGCCCTTAAGGCTGATAATGACCTTGGGATTCGATTCCAAGTCTATTACATGCAAGTTAAATTGTCTGCTAATAGCACAAAAAAGCTCCTGTGAGACAGACTTTGTAATGCGAGCATTTAATTACCTCTCTAGCATTTCATTTATGAAAGCTATTGATGTGTCCAATCAGCAAGAGGTGCACATCACATGCATGTTTTTATGTAGTAAAGGTCTCTCTATCTTCAGTCCTTTCTGGTGGGTCCTTGGGAGAGAAAGACTGCTACAGTGCTTCTGGCACAAACTGCATTACTTAATACCAGTTCCATGCTATTTAATTCTAATACAGGAGTCAGATCAACTGACTCAGTCCTTCAGTATCTTTAAATTTGCATAAATCTTATTTTATCGAAAACAAAAACAATTTTATAGGTTTTTTTCTGTTCCAAAATCAATATATATTTGGCTATATCATTAGAAGAAGTCTTAGAATGTTCTTAACGCAAAGGGGTCATGATTAAGCATAAAAATTGTATTTGGACAGTATAGCTGTGAAAGTAGACATTTCTTTAAAAAAATTTGGTACTTGCATATTTTCCTGTTAATTGTAAAAGTTTATGGAGATCTTGCCAAACTGGAAAATCATTCAAAATTGTATTGATGGTAATATAATTTTTCTCTTAGAATTGTCCATTTTTGCAGCCTAGTTTTGATTTATCTTCTATATCAACTCTTAAAATTCATCTTGTATCAAAAGTATAATAAAAATAAGACATCTTAATTATTTTATTGTAAAGTAGAGAGGTTTAGAATTGTAGCATAACAGTAAAAGTGCCTATCAAATGTTTCATTCAATCCTTCCCCCCAAAAAAGTATAACAAAATTATTTCACTTTTAAAACTGCATTTTATAATTTTTAGTTATTAAGCAACATCTAAAATTTTAATCTATATAATAATATTATAATCTAGAGCTCAGCATGTTGAGTTTAAAAGTAGTTTTTAAATTGTTTAATAAAATATTTTCCATTTTACTTTCAACACTTACGCATATTTTTGCTATATAATTAACTGTACAGAAGAACCCCTACGAAACTGACATAAGGTCAGGGTAAAAGGCAAGTTATTGAAAATCATGCCTTTTAGTTTTATGGAAACCAAGCTAGATGTATCATAATATCTGTTTGTAATGAACATTTTCCACCAAAAATCATTCTTAAATTAGGACAAAAAAATTACATGAAAGCAGTACCTTTAGTGTGGGTAGTAATCACCACCCAAATGTATGATTTTCTGCCAACGTTTTGGTAGTTTTTTCAAAGCCTTCAATCCAGAAACTTGGTGGCCATGAGTCTAAAAACATATCACCCTCATATTGGATGTCCTTTCAGAATGGAACATAGCACCAACAAAATGTAGCTGCAGGTGTGTAAAAAGGTAGAAGTCTGAATGAGCGATGTTAGGGCTATATGGTGGATGCGGCAAAAGATCCCATTTGAATCCATACAGAGTCCAGCTGGTGAATGCATACCCTTGTAGTCTTACATTATCTTGATGGAACATTACCTTTTTGTGCTAGAACAGAGTTCGACTTTTTTCCTTGATAGCAGCATCAACATGGACTAGCATATCGCTGTACACCTTACTGTCGAGGGTTTTACCTTTTTCCCGATACTCTTTATAGATAATAACATGGCAATTCCACGAGATACAAAACGTGATCTTTTTGTTAGTGAAATTGTGTCTTTGTGAAGCTTTCGAGTGGTTGCATATTGATTTCACAAGTTCTCATCATCAGTACGCTCGCCATCAACATCAATACGCTCGCCGAAGCACTCTGCTTCTTGAACATCATAGTCCTTGTTTTTGAAACCAAACCTTCACAGTGTGATATGATACAACATTAGTACCTAAAGCTGTACACATGATTTGGTGACATTCCGTAGCTGATGTTTGCAACGGAACTGGAAGCAAATGATGTTTCTGATCTGGTAGCATGATAGTTCTGTTTCAGACACCTTGTACATAATTAAGATGACCAGATTTTCCGGAGGGCAAAGCGGGACGCAGGGATCCAAATTTGGGGGGTGGAGGGTGGGCTCAGAAGGTGAAAATACGGAGTGCAAAATTTTTAGTGAAGTCGCATTGTCCTTTACAAAGTTACCCATTATTTTCGAATTAGCATGTGTGTTAAACAGACTCTAATATTTAAAGGAAAAATAGAATTTATCCATATCTCAGACTGAATTAATTATTAAATCAACAATCACGGACTTTAGGATCTGGACTGAGACAACTGAGATGTGCTTTCAGTAAGAGCGAACAAAGAATAAAAAACAGCAGTCGGAAAATAAAAGTTTGTAACTTCCTACCTACCTTACTGCTTGAACGTGTCCATCCAGCACATGACGCCACAAATGTATTAATTCGACGTGGACGATGGGCCTTCCTGATCAGCCGCTGACCTAGATGGATCATCCTGTGTAGGTGCTCCATAGATTGACGAGTGAATGCTTCTAAGAATCTTTTGCTCTCATAGAAGTCTTTCATAGACTTCATCACTGGAACTACAGGAACTGTAAAACTCAAAATTGCACTTCACCATTAACATTGCTTGTAGTGTTTCCAGTGTTTTAACTGTGTCTTTTCAGTTGCCGATATGATATTCAAAGACGAGAAGACTCTTTCACTGGCGGCGTTTATCCCTGGAAGACACAACAAAAATTCCACAATTTTCTGGATTTGTGCACATGGCACTTTTTATCTTTGAAATGACAAAAAATTTCAGTCCATCGACAATCGAGCCTAGTTTCTGATAATTCCAATCTGTAATCTTTTGTGGTGAAATAAATAACCTAATGTAGCTTACTTCGTCAAATAACTCGTTATCATCGATGTCAACCTTCGAAATCTTCCGCCCAAAAAGCTGCACGCTTTCTTGTACTTTTTCCCAGAACGGTGGCTCCTTTAACGCAACCCAACTAAATGCATTCTGATCTTCGAATTGCTTAACCTTTTCCGGCATGCTACCTTTTAAAGTTTAAACTTTGATTAAAAATAAAAAATAAAAAAAAAAAAAAAGGTAGCGTCTAATCGGCCTGAGGAGTACAACAAATAAATTTTGTGAAGATAGCACTTATCGTTTTAATCAGTGGGTGTGCCAAAGTGGGCACACTGAAAAGCTTCGAAAGAGTGCTGAAACAAGCATTGTTGTCAATAACTGACCGATGAGATCGGACAACAAAAATACAGACTCTCAGTTGTCCTAGATTATCGGGGAGCCAGTCTGGGCACACCTAGGGTTCGCCGTTTGATTTTAGGAAAGATTTCAAGTAAAATTTAACTAAAAATAAATAAGGAATTAGCATACAGCCAAAAAATAACATAGAAATTTCTTTTCAAACAATTCCTTTTATACCCTAAAAAAATCTGGAAGATTTCTTTGAAAAATGAGTGTCTTAAAAAACAAACATGGCTAAATATATGGATTGGTTTGTGTTGAGCTGCCATCTACTATAAATAAAGAGTCATAAACTGTAATCCTTTTTCATTCAATTTTTCTGTGCGTACAGAAGGAAATTTTTAGGTGTGTCCAGACTGGACACATTGTACTGCAAAGGGTTAACCCTCTCTTTCAGATATCCAGCACAGTTGTCTTAAAAATTTACAATGGTTCTTATAATGTCATTTTTTCTCGCCAATCCTTCTTCTTCTAATTGGGTAATCAGCATACATACTTCATTTGGCAAAAAGGTTTTTGTGCTTCTCTCATTGCATTTATATATTAAATCATCCATTTCAGAAGATACTTCCAATGCTGTTACAGTCTGTGCTTGTATGGGCAGAATAACCACTTGAAACACCACAGGGGTATTATGTACAAAATAGAGCCACAATTCAGCACAGGGATTCTAAAAAAAGTTGCAGATTAGGGTAGGGCACTTCCCTTCTGGCAAGAAATAGGATTTCATTGCAGGAAACAATTTTAAAACGCTCTCTACTGCAGGCATCAATGATAACCATCTAGTTTTCCCATATCCTAAAATGCGCTGCTACTCTACAGAGGCAAATTCGCAAAATTCTTTGAACGACTCAACATGAACAATGTAGATAT